ATGGGTGCAGCCTACCCACGCTTGGTGCTAGTGACTAGAAGGTCCTTGTTAAAGACAATATCGCTCCTGAGTATCCAGACTCAACTTTTATTAATGCTTTTACTCCACATGTTTCCTTCCTCACCAAAGAACTTTCCCAATTCATTTATTGTAATATTAACTTTTATGTTGTTTTATTATTTAAAATAAGAATACCCTTTCAGCTCTTCTAGATTCTAACAACTCTTTTAAGCATATAACTATCAAATGTCTTTATCAAGGCCTATTTCTTTTACCAACTAGTGTCCAAGAGTGCTAGATTTTAGGAATCCTGGCTTGCATGAAAACAGTTTCCTTTTGAATCTGCATTGAAAATAGACTTGGTTAATAAAAGTAGAAAACCAGATGTCAGTCAAGTTTGGGGAGTTTAGCAAAAACTGCTGATAACATACTTCTTAATTACTGGAAGAAGAGGGCATGATGTCTACCTTCTTCCTTCCCTCTTCTTGCCTTCTCTGTGTAAGAATCCTAGCGCCAGCACTCCAGCTTGGCTGCCATTTTCTACAACATTTGCACTCTTTCCAGTTCATTGCTAGTTGGGGCATTTGGAGATCCAGCAGGGAAGTTTCCTTTTAAAGCAGACATTCATTGTATCTTTATTGTTATGTGATGTTCTTCAGTTCCCGGAATGATTTCGTTAGAATAAAGCAAATGCCCTAAATAACTCTACACCCAACTTATTATCTTCCTTCTAGAGTGAAACTATGCAGATTAGGTTTGGTGGGTGCACATGCAATTACCGTGTCAGAGGGTACTTGAACCCATTGAGTAAATATAGTCAACAACACAATAGAAACGTGGAACATTTGAACAAAATATGATTTTCTACCAAAGCAGACATGACTGCAGCTAGAGGGGAAATAAAAATTCAAAAGTATTTTTTAAATAGACTTATCACTGTTAGCAGATGTGTTGCTTTTAATTTGTAGCACTGTGCAGATGCTCTGAGTGTCTATTCACCTTATCTGTCTGTATGGCCAACTGGGGAAAAACTGACAGCATTTCACTAGACTCCTTGTCAACAGGATGAACAGGTCTATTCCACTGAGTTTTTAATTTAAGCCTCACAGTTTATTTTTGTTGTTTTTTTGCTTTCATCAACACTGCCTAAGGGCATGATTCCAATGAATGCTGAAAAAGGGCTTAATTATTTCTCTCTTTGTTCACATTTATTGTCTCTATCAAACAGCTTTCACATATTCAGTTCTGACTGAGGTATGTTATTTTGTTGATTAGCATAATTTGTGAACTGTCTGAAGAAATAGTTGAAGTAAAAGAAAGTCATAAATTAATTTCCAATTAAATCAGAAATGATTCACAGAGGAGGTTAAAAAAATATTAGTGACCTTGAAGAGAATAATATTCAAAACATATCAAAGTGAGAGGCAGCACATTAAGATGGTAAGGAAATGTGGGTGCTGAGCAGAGAATGATAAGAGTGTGAGCCCACTCTGTGCAGAATAAAAGGAAGAAAACTAACATTAAGTACATAACTTCCATTTCTGCTGGCTTTCAACAATCATATGTGTCAACATGTTTAATTTCCATAATACCTGTGGAGAATATGATCTCCTCATGTGGGACAATGAGACCACACAAGTACAGCAAAATTCAATTTGTTTCTGAAGCCCTTTGTAGTGGTGAAACACACACTGCTCATATTGTGAAGGGGAAGCAGTTTGGGGTGCTGGAGTGATATGTGTAGTTTTATCATCCACTTCTCCTCTGGTTCTGCTCAGCATTAGTAGAGCAAACCATTCACTTGATAGTTGTAGTTTGCTCTCCTTGCCTGACCATCTTCCTCAAGGCAGCTGATCAGCTCTGTAAAATCAGGGCCCACCTCTCCAGACATGCTCTTTCATGGAGACTTTAAGTAGAACATTGGTAAATGTCCATTGTATTATCTGCTTTTTATGCTCAATATTATGGAACTAAAAGGAAAATCCTATGTTCATAGGAAAAGTCTTTATTTTCAACTTAAGCCTTCACTTTCAGCCCACGAGTAATATGAATTAAAGAGATGCTTCACCTCTCTTTAGATATTTTTTATATTTTAATAGCATTTGCATTAAATCAAGGCCAAGACTGTTCATTTTTAAGTATCTATTTTGTTTTTACTTATATGCATATATGGGGAGGGCGGTGGGTAAGTGGCCATGAGTGCAGTTGCCCCTGGAAGCCTTAAGAGGTCATCAGGTTCTCTGAAACTGAAGCCACAGGCAATTTTAAGTTCCCTGGCATGAGTTCTGGAAACAGAATTTGGGTACCCTGGAAGAGAAGTATACACTCTTAACCACAGAGCCATCTCACAAGCCCTAAGAACACGTTCTTAAAACTAGACTTTCTAGCTGCTATATGCTGATAAACACAATGTTGCTAATTAAAAAAAAAAAAACCTGAGTTCTCATTAGTCAATGGTAAGATAAAGAGACAAAAATCACAAAAAAAATTTAGTACTTTTTACTACATCAGCTTAGCATCAATATCATGGCAAGATGCTACCTCCTTACAGACCTTCACTAACTGTTCTAGCTAACATTTAGGAAACACCTACTGTCTCAGATGCCTTCCTATGTGTTGATATATTTAGTGCTCATATAACCAATAGAAAGTGTAGTTCTTCCCCCTGGAACAGTGAGACTCATGGAGACTACCATGGAATCACATTTTATTTTTTATTGGATGACAGCATTTGGCACAAGCTCAATGACTTAACACTTAAAACCACAATATAAGTTAAGTGCCTTTGTTATCATCATCTGATTTCAGATCAAGAAACCAAGAAACCCAGAGCAAAGTTATATCCCTTAGAGTTAACTACAAACAAAGTAGCAGAGGCAGTGTGTATGCCTGGTGTTGGCTCTTCTGAGATCCCAACCCTGGCCTTGTAACACTCCCTTAACCTCTCTCCACCCCATTCCATAACCCCATCTAACATCTCCTGAACACAGCCTCCATTGACCACCTAAGTCTCTGACTTCTCCCCTTTTTCTGTTTCTCTGCTTCATTTTCATATATATATATATATATATATATATATATATATATATATATATATATATATATAATCAGAGTCCTCAGGAAGAAAGAGCAGATGCATCCAGTTGAAATTTTAAAATAACTTAATGAAGAGACAATGTAGAGAGACCAATAGGAAAAGTAGGAAAAGGTAAAGTAGTTAACAGCAAGTGAGGCAGATGCATAAAACCACGTGTAATGACCCCTCTCCCAAAGCATGAAGACACTAAAGGAGGAAAACAGGGGTAGAGGACTGCGTAAGTGTCCACAATTCAACTTTCATTCCATTTTAGTAGCTATCGATGTATATCAATTTAGTGTATCACACCAAGCATAGATTCAGTTATAAGGAAGAACTGTACAAGCAAAAAGTTCAAAAAACTCAAATGTATCTGATAAAAGAGAGACCGCAAGAAGGACAAGAAGAATGCCCCCACTTGTCTTCCTCCAAGATATTCAAGCAACTAGTTTCTAGTTCTTCCCAGTCCCTGGTCAGCAAGACAATCAGACCAACAACAAAATTAAAACAATTTCTTGCTAGAAAGCAAGATTTCTCTCTCACATTTTTTTTTAACATTTAGGCAGTTCTACCAGTTTTAATTAGCCTTTAATTACCCAATTCCTATGGGTTTTCATCCTGGATCTCAAGCTTTCTACACTGCAAGGATATTTTTGGAGTCATCAAGCATGTGGCAATAAAACTGGCTTTGAGCCTATGACATTGCAAAGGACAGGGCCACTGAGGGTGTGTGACAGTAGATGTCCCATGATTCTATGTTAACAGATAGTGTTCTCTGGATTATTCTCCCAAGAGATCAGCTAAAGCACAAATCAAATTAACTGCGTTTCATCTCTTGAGTACAATATAAACTCTGAAAGGGCAGCACATACAGGATCTATTTTTCTTCTGTCTCACTAAACCCTTCCTTCCATCAGGTACAAACCACCCTCAAGCACAAAGAATATTGGTTATAAAAAGACTGAGACAACTATTGGAAAGTCTTTCTAAAGCACATATATATATATGCTTCTCTCTGCACATTGTGAACATCCTGGCACATTTTAAGCAATCATTAGTGCTTTGGTTTGCATTAGACAATTTTGTATCACAAAGTAGCAGCTAAACAGCCAAATTCGTGAGAAGAATTTTCTTGAGGTATATTTTATGTGAGTCAACTCTTAAATCACTTTAGTAAACCAAGATATTCATCAGTTACAGGGACTCACAAAGTTCCTGGGAGAAACAGAACCCCTAACCTATTATTGTAAAACCTTTTTGGTAATTGGTTGTTACTGATGAGGGTAAAATCCAAATTGTCTGTTCACAGATGCTTGAAAGAAAGCATTTCATTAGCTTTTGTTTGCAGAAAGTGAGTATAAGGGAAGAGAAAGAAAGTAACAGGCTTTCTGTCAGAAATACCTTTCCAAGAGAAGGATTTTCTATTTTTATTTCAAAGGTTGAAGAGAGGAAGGTTGGGAGTTTCAAATATTAGCCTAGGTCTCTGCATGTCCAGAATTTTAGGAAAGATACAGTTGGGAAAAATACTGATGCCTGAATATGTTTTCAACTCAAAGATCAAGACATAAAGCCTGACATGGTGGCACAGATTGTAATCAAAGCTAATTGGGAGTCTGAGGGAGGAGGATCAGAAGTTCAAGATCTGCCTTGGCAGCTTACTAAGATTCAGTCTCAAAATAAAAAGTAAAAAAGAGAGCTGGAATAAATACCTTGACTAGCATGTAAGAGGCCCTATATTCAATTCCCAGTATTGGGTTATAGAAAAAGAATCAAGATACCAAAGCCTAGATTCTTGTCATCTTTCTTATAAGCTTAATGTTAAGGGTTTGAAGTCTTTGATTAGATTTATTTGTTCTGTTTTGTACAGATGCCTTTGCTTCTTCTGATGTGTTACTTAGTACAGCTTTCCTTTCCTCCCCTCCAGGTCATGGGTTTGGCTCATCAAAGATGTCCAGGGCACAGACATTTCCCAGTTATGCTCCAGAACAGAGCGAAGAGGCTCAGCCACCATTGTCACGGTCCAGCAGCTATGGATTCAGCTATAGCTCCAGCCTCATTCAATGACACACAGAGGCCATCAGTGACCAGCAAAACAGTCTGCCCTGGACCTGCCATGGGGTCATTTCGCCCCGTGCCTCCTGGAAGATCAATTGCAGTACAAATTAACATTGGTAGGGCCTAGTCCCAACTGGAAGGTTAAAAACTGGAGTTCTGCTTCCTTGATTCAGTGGTTAAGTCCTTTATTTATTGAATTTCTATGGGGGAAATCTATGTTTTACAAAAAAAAAAAAAAAGAATCCAATAATATGAACACTCATTTAAGTAAGAAAAATTCTTTGTGTCTGACAGTAACAGAAGCCTTGGCACTGGGAAATTTGCCGACTCTAGATTGCGTCTGGGTGGGAGTCACTGACATTTGTCCTTAATGCTGTGTGCTCCTGTTTGGACACAGGGCCTATCTTTAAACATAATGATGACCCACTATAAGCTCTGTGGCTTTGTCAGTTTTGACAGAAACAAATCAAGTAAGCTCTACACATGGCATCTTAACTCTCCATGTAAAGAAGCTCGGTGACAATTAAGGGGATATGAAATTAGAATATTCCATTAAGAAGGGCCCTGTAGCTCGAGTGTGAGTGTGTGTGTGTGTGTGTGTGTGTGTGTGTGTGTGTGTGTGTGTGTGTAAGATATTGCTATATCCATCTACAGATTAGGATATATCAAATGTTCTGAGAGTGACAGGATATGCTCACTTAAATTATTGGAAACTAATTTGTTGTGTTAAAATTTTGTTGACTAGATACTTTTAAAATAGTGCTGTTAGAAAATGAAAATGGCTCCCTACTAGCAACTGTATCACACTAGCCCACTCTGATCCTATGAGGGTTATGAGCAGAAACCCAAGAGCGAAGCCTTTTGGCAATAAGGTTACCAGCCCAGCTGCCCTGCATGTTCGTTGTGCTGTCTTTCTGGTTGGTGTTGCCCTGTCATTGACTGTTTCTCTCCATGGCTATCCATCTGAGCTACTTGAGAAATTGCTGTAATCTCCAACTCCAGAGAGAGACGCCAAAATGTTTGAGAAAGACACAAAGCTACACTTAAAGTGAACTCAGCTATCTTACAGCTAAGAGAAGAACAAATGATACCCAAAAGTAGATGTTAGTGTTTTAAATTGCACAGATGAATTCTTTCAAGAGTCATTAGGGGGTTGGCATTTGCTATGGAATCAGAATTCGCTTGGCTTGAATTTTTTGTACTGAACTTGATTGGGATGACAAGAGAGTGTTTCACTTGAAATTTTTTCAGCTCTAGAATATGACAAATTTCTCAGTTTGAAGGGAAATGGGAAATTCTACTTGAAGAGGAAAAGTTTGGCTAATTCAGGTCAACATAGACATGTTTGCCCATAATTTAGGGAGTGAAAATATAAATTACTCTGCTTGACCCACCTGGTGTCATGTGCCTAAACTAGATTATCTGTCAAGGAATCCAGATCAGATTTCAAGAACCAAGGTCAAACAAGAGGAAAATCTGATTTTTTCCTTGATAGCAAAATGTTCTATGTTCATTTAGGAGCTATGTTCTACTAAAAGGGTAGCCTTTCACTGATCCCCATTAAGATTTCACTCATCCCTTATCCATAGCTTGTGAGCAGATTGACAACTTCTTTCAGTGAATGACTACAGAGGAAAAGTGGTTATGCATCCCTCCTTGATAAATGTGCACTTACTGTAACTACCTACTCTCCCCAAATCACTCAGATAGGTATGAAAATCTCATAAAGATACTAATCATAAGTGTTAATGTGGCTGTGAAAAATAATTATCATAAGCCTTCAGGGATAAAAAGAAAATTACCCAAACTATGCCCTGTTGATTTTGCTGACATAGCAGAAGAGCAAAATACTGGGTCCTTCTGAGGAGAGAGAATGCAGTCTTCCCTGGAATCCCACTTTTCAGGGTTAATGCCTCTGAGTTTCTTTAACACATGGCATCTGCTGTAGAAATGCCATTAGTAAATACATCAGAGCAACTCTGAGCTGAGACTGTTCTAGCACAGTTCCTAGTGTGGCCATCAGAGCAAGCGTCTCCCTGGCTCACTGAGTCGAGCTGTTGCTTGGAGACCACGAGTTTCTACAAGGGACTTATGGGGAAAGGCCCTGAGGGGTCTTGATTCACATCTCAGCTTTATCAATGTGCCAGGAGCACAGATAGCAAGTCCGGTGGGATTCTGCTAATTACGAGTCTGCTCTTGTGTCTCTTTGGTGGGCAACAAGTACCCACATAAAGTAACTTCAAAATTTGGTTCTGATCATTAACAATGAGTATCACTGAGAAGGAACGTAAAACCATGCATAAGTTTAGGCCAATTTTTTTCTGAAAATAAAGTCACAAAAAGTGTGAGAGATGTATCTCCTTAGTCTTTAACCCAATCTCACCATAGTGAGAATAATATTGTAAAAATATTTCATGATACATTTTTAGGAGCTTTATTCTAGCATACTCCTCTGAGTATATTTAAAAATTTTAGCTAAGTTGAAACTGCTAAGAAAGCAGCAAGAGAATTTATAGTAGCCTAATATTCTTAACATGAGGCAGTGTTAATTGTAATAAAAGAGACAAACAGATGAACCTATAAAAACCAAAGATGGAAAGGTATTTGCAACTGTCTCCTGGAGCCTCATAAAACCATTCCACCATAATTACTAGAATGGCTGTGGGCATGTGTTAGCCCACCCAAGCCTGTAGGTTCTTGACTGAAAATGCCTCTACACTTTGCAATTGTTCTCACTTCAGAAATTGTATTATACCTTAAATATACATGTGACTTTCTCATCGTGAGATAGAACCTGCTGCGCACCAAAGACATCTTTTGGCCCCTTCTGAGTATGACTCAGTTGGGCTTCCACTCAGATTTATACAGAGTGGTAAGATGGTTACCATATCTCTATCAGTTGTTAGACACCAGTGATGAAGAAGGCTGACATGCATGAGAAAGTCTCTTCAAGAAGTAAACCAAGCCTGAAGGTATACACATTTCACATAAATATTTTTTTAGGAGGGTTGGTTTTTCTACCCTAGTGTTTTTCTTCTATTATAAGTATGACTTGTAACACATACCAATATATTAAATACGCAGAAAAGCATAAATGACCTTGGTCCACTGTTTTACTATTCTGTTGGGTGGGGGTTGATACAAAAACATACCTTTCATTAAGTGATTGAACAAAAAATAGGCACTCAGATAATTTTCTTAGACAAGTTGGAAATAGTTTTGAATCAATAGAGTTGGCCACTGCCATAATTTGAATTTAATAAAATAAAAAACACATATCTAGAGTGAGCCTTTTGCTGGTTCAGAATCACGCCATTGTTTCATATATTAGGGAAGTTGCTGTTTGATAGAGCATGTGAAATGAAGAGAAGCATATTTATTAGAACCAAACCTTTCCTTGTTCTAGTATCTAGACTACTAGTTCCAGTGTGCAGTTCTTCCGACTTCACTGGGAAACTTTGTTTGAAAATCACTCATCTTCTTTATAAAATGACCAGCTATTCATATCTCTCATCTAACATACAAGCAGTGGGGTAATCAGTATTTTCACACTGTTAGCTGTAGACTTTACAATCCAATTTATTGCATGTGGTATCCTTAAAATGGATATTAAAAATACATCACAAAGACTGACATTTAACCCTCATTCTTTGGTCAAGGTCTCACAAAACTTTGTTTTGAAGAAAGCATGAGTAATTTACTTCTTTGATTACTGGAACCACTTACAAAATAACCATTAATGCTACAGTGAAAACAAGCTAAGGAAATTACATTATTATAAAAACTTGTAGTCCAGTCTTGACTATTCTAATACACCACTATAAATGGGCAATATACATTCAGAGGTCCTGATGTTTAGGCCTTTAATTCTTCATGTTTCACTAAGTACAAATATAATGTTAATGACTGCTTCAGATCTATTTACATGTCTACCAAAATAGTGCAATGACAACTTGCTTTTACAATTATTAGTTATACAATCTTTGGACTACCAGTGCCTCAAAAATAGACCCAAAAAAGTATCATTTGAGTATGTACTCATAGTTTTAAAGTAAGTGATATGCTACATAAATTAATGTCAAGCCTAGGAAATTTATGGGTATTCATAGTTTATGAAATTTATGGAAATTACCAATAGAAGAAATAGAGTCAAAGAGAAATTATCAGTCAGTAGGACAATTTGAACAAAATGATAAAGAATTCATTGGTACAAACAGCAAAACACTTGGACCCTACTTTTCCAAGATTCTGATCCCGTTCTCTGTGGCAGATTCTGCCTTCTTCACTGATATTCAGCTAGTAATTTGTTCAAGTTAAAACTATTCAGTCATATTATATATTGACATAAGCATAGAACACACATTACCAACAAATGTGCTGCTTTCAGTTTGTGAAAAAAAAATTAACACAAAAGAAGGTATGTATGCTGCAGTTTTAGTATGTAGGAATTGCTTTCTGTAGGCAGTCTCCTTGGAATTTCACCATAAAGTCATGTTGTCAATGAGAATGGTTAGTTGCTCAGTATGTGAAGAGAAACAGATATCCCCATATCTACATATTTTGTAAATGGATTAGAAAGATCCATTTTGTGTGTGGATCTACCACAAGTCCATAATTTCTTACTCAAGAATGTGAACCTCGAAACATTTCTACAGTTATTCTCAGAGAAGAAGGTTTAAATAGTTTAACAAGTTTTGTGCAAAAAATCTTGAGAATCCAGGCACATTTTTTGAAATAGGCTTAAACCCTAGCAGCAATTTAAAGGTCGTACAGAGTGAAGGGTTCATTTCATGTTACCCTGGAAGAAAACTGAAATGTGTGGGTGTTGTAATTTGTTCAGAGACAATAAACAGCTGGGTATGCTTTCCTCCTGTTTCAGACCCCATGAATGTTCCCTAGTTGCACCTGTCTCTCAGCAGAATGTGGTGGGAACTGGGGAATAGCACGTGGTCTCAGAATACTTAAGCCCTTGTACCTTGAAATGCTTGCCTTTCCTTTTTTACGTGTTTTTCTTCCTCTTGGACTCATCACCAATGATACCCAGAAAACTTTTTAGCCAACTCACTCCATTGATTTCTATACACCTGTTCATTTACAGATTGTCATCCAATACTTTATTACCTCAAACAATACGCAAACTCAAAGTTAAGGAGATTTTTGTTGTTGTTGTTTGCTTGCTTGCTTTTTGTCATTGTTGTTTTTCTCCACTAACTACTCTATGGTAACTGTCAGTATTAGTTTGGGGGTCTTCATCCCTCCACATGACATTATGGTTCCATGGTCAATGTTTGTCACAGTTGGATTAGATAGCTGACAACATTAGGGCCACATTCTTTCATGGAAACCTCACAGTTTCCTTTCTCAAAAAAAAATTAAGAGAATAGATTTTTTTTTTTATATTTAAATGCCATATCCATCAAGTTTTTTCTTATGAACTTAAGTAGGCAATTATTTAAATTATTTGAAATTTAGATGAATAAGAAAAATTTAAAAATCACCTTTACTTGCATTTTCAGAGACTTTTCCCAAGGTTAATGTAGTATGATCTTGTAAATATTTGTAAAGGAAAAATTCACTTGTAAAAGAAATATCCCCTGTAATAATTTCATATACACAATAAGTTTTAATTTTAAATTATTTAATTTTCTCTGACAACATCACTAATCTGAAGTCAGAAAAATAATTTATTTAGAAAATGTTACCACTTTTCTGAACCAATTTTAGTAGCTAATACAAATAACTTAAAAGTGTATCACTCTCAGGATAGTTTTAGACTGAGCACATAAAATCAACCCTCTCTGTAGACAGAACTGTGTATCCGTGGAGTAATCTACCAAGTTGGTCAGGAGTGGTAGAGTGCTTGAAACTCAATCACTGAAGTCACTCAAGGTATAGATAGTTTCAAAACAATCAAGTATTTGAATTTTATAACCACAAATTCCAAGGAAAAAAGATGATTTAATTTTAAGCCACTGCATGATCTCTCTCAAAAGAATCATCCCAAGTGGCTCATACTTACTGGCAATATGGCACACTAACAGATGATGGCCAAGTACAGAAGACAGTGATACTACCACCTTCATGTCACACATAAACCAGAACCGAACATGATTATTATGAACTAGAATCCAGACCCATGAATCTATTGTGTAGTTCAAGAAACAATGCTTGATATGGACAAAAAGTATATATATAGAGAGGTGTATTAATGTCTAGATGAGGGGGTGGAGCTCTACACTGGAGATGAGCTGTACAACATAGTTTGCTTTTCTCCATTTCTTAGACACTGTAAGAGGCAGTACATGATCCACACCAGCAAATCCGTCTGCTGAAGGCCAACCAGTGTCATCTTCACTGCAGGTGACAAGAGACAATGGCTCCCTTGTCCATTCCCATGGGCCCCAACCAACACACACACTCACATCCACAGATACACTCTTCACCTTTGACTTTTGACTCACTCTATCTGTTTTCAGTGAAGTTGGCACTTGTCTTTTTAAAATATCATTTGTTGTAAAATAGTTATCCCAGTGATCTCAAAAATATACTAAATTATACATTATATGTCTGCTTCCTGTAAATCTTTATTTAACTAATTTATATATACTTTCTGAAGTCTTCTACTGTGCATTTATTGTTATAAAGGGATAGCATTTGTTGTTGATCCAATATAATGATTATGATAATTTTGATAAAATTAACAAGACATTTATCCATGACTAAGAAATAAAACACCCACTACAAATTTGCTTCACTTGGAAAACATGACCTACTACATCTTATTCTTAGTCACAATCTATTCCAAATAAATAGTCTAGGTATATCTGGACTTAAATACTAGTTGAAACTCAACTTTTCAATGAAATGTAAAGTAAAACACTGTACATGGAAAGTAAATATGAATTTCTGACTGAGCATAAAATATTATAATAAGGCAATAATAATATTAAGAAATTCAGTTTTTTAATTAGTGTTTGTGACTTTTGCCCTTCAGCAAAAATACATAGTTGAAGAATTTGCTTCTCCTAAATTTATCATTTTGTACATATTTCAATCCTTAAGAGATTATTGAGTTCTTATAATTCCTAGAATTTCAAAGTGGCATTGCTTCAAAGAGGGTAACATAGTTGTACAACATTAAAATTTGCTTCATCACTTTAAAATGGGTAAAACATCTGAAATATTATTCTTCACCACAACTCTGCATGAATGAAATTTTGAATTAATGCAATGGCTTTATCCATAATATTTGACTTTTCTAGCACTGTAATGGTGATCTCCTTTTATTTTTGTCATGTGATGAATGTAACTTTGTAATTAACCAGAATTCTGACAATCATATCTTGCTAACCTCTAAAATGTTAACTGCTTTCATCACTTATGAGCTTGTGATTTTCAAAATAAAGTGAAAGAGAGCCCTTTATTAATTGTAAGGTTACTGAGAATTTATTATATATTTCCAGTATTTTCCTAACCTTATATTACAATAGAGTTAGAATTCTATTGGGTTGAATATGCTTTGAAGAAATCGTGGAACATTAGTATTAATGATATCATTACAATCAACACATTTATTGTCTGTTTTCGAGTGAAAAGACACCCAGAAAGCATAAGTGACTTACACAAATGTGATGTAATTAGATTTTGGGTTTTCTTCTATCTTTCTGCTCACTCATTAAGGGTAATGAAAATTAATTAAAATGAATATTTGGCAGCAAGATTGGACATCAAAATTGAAATTCACATGATGCTAACTGTCCTGCAGAGATGTGATCCATGATTTCCTTTTTAAATTTTCTTCTCATGGTACAGCAGTCTTTGTCACTTGAATGTCACTCTATCAAGATAGACATTTGCTGAGCCTATTTCTCAAACTTGAACTGAGCCTTTCTGGTTAGTTGCTTAATGATATTTCCCCTTCTAAAGAATGCATGCCCCTAAAGAAAATCTAAAGTTTCTCAATCCTGGAGAAACCAATTTAGATTGTAGATCCTGATCACACAGTCAAGTAGTGTTAAGTTCCCTTGATTGGGAAGTATAGCCACATAAACTTGTAAAAATAAAAATAAAAAAAACAATAAAAAATGTCTAGGGCCCTTTGATGCTACACAGTTTGGAAAAATGCTTAAGAGTGGAATGAAAATGAAAATACCCATTCTTTCTAAATAGTGAATAAAATACAATTTATTCTGAATACCAATTTTTGTGCCATTTTCATAGGAAATTAATGATGTGAATTTGATGGGGTTTCTTTCCCTTTTGTCACAATTAAGATCATGGGGACTATTTATTTTTTCTGGGGAAAGTATCTTTATGAAGAATGTAATGGTTTATATAAGCTTAGAGCTGACATCAAAGACAATATTTAATGAATACATGCCACAGGGCACAGCCCTGAAGCAATTCCTCTGCTATTTTTGTAACATACAAACAAACCAGCTTTGTCTGTTTCCAAGTTACTCAAAAAAATATGTTAGATAAATTGATCTAATTTTGGTATCCATATGGTGACTTATTAAAATAAATGTTTGAGCAAGAACTGGCTAGAATATCTAACATTCATGAAAATGTGAATTGTCCTATTATTTAGGCATTTTAGAATATCCGGCTACTGATTTATGCTGAGTATGATCTCAAAGTCCAGTCAATCACTAAATGCTTACTGAGTTCTTGCTACCTCCAAAATACAAATAAAGGACATGCAATATCTTCTGATCTTTGTTCTTTCCTCCTTTTAATTCCTTTTGGTATGTGCCAATATTAGGGATTGGTTCTAACAGCAAAGCGGTACTTAGATCACAAAATGGTTAGAAATAAGGAAATAAGGAAAGCAAGAGGTCATCTTGATCAGATTCCTAAAAGTCAACTTTCTCAAAGCATTGATAAATGCATCTCCTTCCTCCCCACCTCTTCCTCCCTGTTTTCCTCTTGCTTCCACTCCTCTTCCCCCTTCCTCCCAGTCCTCTTCTTCTTCCTCCTCCACTTCCCTTTCCTCCTCCTCCCTCTCCTCCTCCCCCTTCCTCCAGGTCCTCTGCTTCCTCCTCTGCCTCCCTCTCCTCCTCCCCCTTTCTCTTCCTTGCTGTCCTCTTCATTCCTCCTCCTACTCCTTTTGTTCCTCATCCTTCACTTTCTTTTCCTCTGCCTCCTCTCTTTCACTGAACAGACTGCTTTTTTCATTCACAGGTAATTGTCAGGAAACAAAAGCACATAATAACACAAAAATCATCTCTCACTATTGGAATGCTAATATTTTTTAAATCTTCAACTTTATCTTTGACAAAATCAGAAATGTCTTCATGAAGAGTTTCCATCATCATCCATTACTCTCTATATATGTGTCAATTATAGAGACCTATTCTATATATCAAAATTCCTCTGAATACATGTAAACTCTAGTTGTAAGGTAATAAATTGGTAAAACAGTTGTTTCAAACTCCAATCTAAAAAGCATTAATTGAATCTTCTCAGAGCTGGAGTTCAAAAATACAATGTGATAACACTTTTCCCAAGCACATCACCTAGAAGTCAAGAGGCAGGTAGCTTAGTCTTGTCTTATTCACTGAGTGTCCCTGGAGTACCATTGACTTTACACATTCCTTCTTGGTTCCAATATATATATAAAGTGTTATTTTTGGATAGCCTGCTGTTTGTGAGGTTTGCAACTTTTTTAAACAAATCTAATTACATTTCAGAGAGCTAAGTGTAGTGTATTAAGGTCATTACCTAGAAATAACCTATTTCACTCACTCTAAGGAAATCATCTCATTTTCAGTGCTGTATTGGAAAGAACAATGTTATTTTGAATGTTTTAGTAAACTTTCTTCCTAAGCACTTCTACCCAATATCTGACCCACGTCCTCAATGGTGGAAGGGAATGATATTCTAAATTCAAAATCTCATGGACCATTAAGAGACTTTTCCGGGAAGTGTTAGCAGCAGTAGGACTTTTATATGTAGAATTTATAAACTGTATGAATAATGTTGAATGTGAAAGAATGTCCATTGCTATTTTTTTTTTTTTTTTTTGGTTTTTTGAGACAAGGTTTCTCTGTGTAGCTTTACGCCTTTCCTGGATCTCGCTCTGTAGACCAGGCTGGCCTCGAACTCACAAAGATCTGCCTGCCTCTGCCTCCCAAGTGCTGGGATTAAAGGCGTGCACCACCACTGCCGGTAAACAATTTTGTTGTTGTTGTTTTGTTTTGTTTTTCGAGACAGGGTTTCTCTGTGTAGCTTTGCACCTTTCCTGGATCTCGCTCTGTAGACCAGGCTGGCCTCGAACTCACGGAGATCCGCCTGCCTCTGCCTCCCGAGTGCTGGGATTAAAGGTGTGTGCCACCACGGCCTGGCTCCGTTGCTATTTTTGATATGTTCTGACATTAATCTGTTTTTGGTAGTGTTTAAAACCTCAGGTAACATTATCATTGCATTGAATACAATATGAAATGTTCGCTTCATTTGTGAACAAATTATAACTCAACACTTCATGTGGCATTGCTTTTCTTAACTCTCCAGAGGAAATATCAAAAGGCCTAGGTATCTAAGAGATTCCAAAACCATAAAATGGCATCTTATTTCTATGTTTATAATAAGTGAATCAGAAACTCTAAGACTTACAGTATAATTCCTAGTACATCAGAACACGGCATACTCTCAAACAGTTCATATTATTGCTATTGAGTAGTGAGTTAAAGAACACTCAATCTGTTGGAATTCCTAGACAATATTTCCCTGATGATGTGTGATTTTTACTCCTTGATTACTAGTAATGCTTTTTCCTAAAATGAAGAGAGAGTAACACATGATGGGCAATTACAGAATGTTGGCTATTTCTTAGTGTAACCTAATGGAATAATCCATTTGAATGTTGCTTCTCTTATGTAGGTTACAGCATAAGAAATAACTATTCAGTGACCTACTTATTAAATTTTGAAATATCCTTAAACATAGTCATATATAGTGAAAAATCTCTATGGCAAGTCTACAGACTTGGTTCCATACCTTGTTAAAATTACTCATATATTCATGAAAAGGAGGTTCAACTCACAAATAACACACAAGGGCTACAAAAGCTCTCTACCTTCTTTTGATTTGCCATTGCTTTTCCTGTTTTTCCTAAGAAAACTAATGATTATATATACACACATGCAAAATCCTTGACCATGCTTCTTCTTTCTTGGCTCTTCTCACCATAAAGTCTTCTATTCCTCATTTACATTTTTGCAACTTTTAAAATTTTATCCAACCAAGCAAAACTAATGCTGAAAACCACTTTCTGACATTTCAATTTTGTTTTATTTTGGCAGTTTAAAAAAAAGTTCTCAAAATTTGGTGCCTCAAGCTGACCTCAGTGATGAATCAGCATGACTGACAGTTCATATGCTCCAGTATTAGCTAATTGGGTAGACTTGACATATGATCTTTGTGTACTTTCACACAAAATATCCCTGTAACCTTTTGCTTCTTTTGGATTTGCAAAGTTTTAAGAATTTTAAAGGTGACTTAAGCATAATCAGGGAATCTGAAAAGTATGATTTAAATTGACCTTCAGATTTTTCTCTCATAATGTTATAGTTATTTTTTAAAATAAGTACATGCTCAGTTTGTGTATCCTAAATGTTATGTCATTCACTAAAATGGTTTAAAATGCAGCATAGACCACACAAAGTCAGATAGGACAAACACCTGCATCTAATCTTCCTAGTGGAAACATCAGAAAGTTAGGACAAGGCAGGAAGTGAATACAGCTCGTTGGTGGAGTTATTGCTTATCATGGAAAAAACACCTGAGTTTGATCCTCATCACTTCACAAAACAGTCACACATCATGTTTACCTGTAATTCAAGCACTAAGGAAGCAGAGATAGGAGGATCAGAACTTCAAGATCATTCCTGGCTACATGGTAAGTTCAAATCCAGCCTGCTATACATGATTTCATGTCTCAAAAACAAAAAAATCAAATCAAGCAACAATAATAAAATCCCAAGGAAAGTAAAGAATTTGAAGGAATTTAGCACCCACAGCCATAATAGACTCCAAACATAGCCTGATCCCTAATGAGATTGGGATTAATCTACAAATCAGTAACCTGTTAACAAAAAAAGATTTACAGATGTCAAGACTGTATTTTATGGGATCTTCAGAACTTGACATGAAGAGAAAAGAGTTAACTTGAATGTTAGTCATGTATATAAAGTTCCTAAAGTAAAACCTAAGCAGGTAGAAAAGCACAAAACATTAAGAACAGTGGAATAATTTCAACAGGTGTAATACAAACATAATCTGCAGCTCTAAAGAGGAATAAAAAGAGAATGAAGTAACAGAATATTTGAAATAGCAGTATCAATGAATATGCCAAAATTACGAAAAGGCATTAATAGAGAACCACTAAGTTCTTAGAACATAAATACTATAAATACAGAGAGAGGAAGATGGAGGGAAGTAGAGGGACACAGAGAGACAGAAAGAAAGCAGAGCTAGACAGAGGAGAAAGAGAACAAAGAAAATAAGGGGGGAAGGTGAAAGAAGGAAAGGTGAGATGAAAAGGAGCCTTGACCATCTCTGGGAGAAACACTCAGAAAGAAAGTAGAATTACATAGAAATTTCCAGTTGAAACCTGAGAACAGAATGAAAGAAAACAATAAGATTTAAAAGAATCAAAGAACAAGTACAGCAGTAGAAAATAATTACAAACATATAAATTATGTAAGTAAACCTCTTTCTCTTGAGTGGTTTAAATATATCAATTAGAAAATAAAGATTGTTCCACTGGTTTTTTGAAGATTCATCTATACATTGCTTTAAGAAACTGTCTTTACTCTGCCCTGTCAGCTGGGGAACGTGCATGGGATCAGACTAGACCCTCTGAATGTGGGTGACAGTTATGTGGCTAGATGTTTGGGGAGCCTCTAGTGGTGAGACCAGGACTTATCCTGAGTGCATGAAATGGCTTTTCAGAAAACATTCTCTAGGGTGGGGATATCTTGCTCAGCCTTGACACAAGGGGGAGGGGCTTGGTCCCACCTCAACTTAGTGTGCCAGACTTTGTTGACTCCCCAAGGGAGGTCTTAACCTCTTTGAGTGGGTGGGGGATGGGATGGGGAAGGTGAAGGGGGATGGAGAAAGGGAGGGAGGGGGAGCTGGGATTGGTATGTAAAATGAAAACAAAACTTTCTTTTTAAAGAAAAAGAAACTCTTTAATCCCAGCACTCGGGAGGCAGAGCCAGGCGGATCTCTGTGAGTTCGAGGCCAGCCTGGGCTACCAAGTGAGTTCCAGGAAAGGCGCAAAGCTACACAGAGAAACCCTGTCTCGAAAAACCAAAAAAAAAAAAAAAAGAAACTATCTTTAAACACAAAAATGCACCTACTTCAATGTCAAGAGTTAGTGAAAGGCATGCAATACCAACAAGCTGAAATATTTATGGTAATTTCATAAGAGGCCAACTTTAACTAGGTTGATTATGAGAGATGAAAGGAATATTTAATATGGGAGGGTCTTCTGTTTTCCAAGAAACCCAGCAATCCTAAAAGTACAGTATTTTACAACTGACTATCAGAATGTTTCAGGAAAAACGGATAAAAATCACAAGAAAAAATCGACAAACTCACTATGATAGCTGAACACTTCACTATCTCTGTCAGTAAGGAGATGGGAGATTAAAAAAAAAAGATTACAGACGACTTGCAGAGCACTGTCCATCAGTGCTGTCCTATGAACA